GAAAATTACACCAAAACCTACATTGAAAGAGATGTGAGAATGATGAAAAACATTTCCAATTTAATGGTGTTTGAAAAGTTTATTCGTTTAGTAGCAGGCCGCAATGGACAAGAGTTTAATGCAAGTGAAATAGGAATTGAGGTAGGAGTTGATCAAAAAACCATACAAGCTTGGGTGGGTGTATTGCAAAGCAGCTATTTGATTTACTTTTTAAAGCCCTTTCATAGAAATTTCAATAAAACCATCACCAAACGCCCTAAACTATATTTTTACGACGCTGGTTTAGTTTGTTATTTATTAGGAATCACAAGGACCGAACAATTAATAAATCATCCACTACGAGGAGCCATCTTTGAAAGTTTTATCGTGTCCGAATTGGTGAAGGAAAGATTAAACAGAGGTTTGCCAATTAACTTATATTACTGGAGAGAGAAAAATAAATACGAAATAGATGTGCTTATTGAAAATTTTGATGCGATTATTGCCTTAGAAATTAAATCGGGTCAAACCATACAGAGTGATTATTTCAAAAATATTCAGTACTGGCTTAAATTGACAAAACAGAAAAAAGGATTTGTGCTTTATCAGGGCGAGCAATCGCAAGTTCGAGATAACGGTGTATCGGTGATGAATTGGTTTAACTACATGCAGCAAGAACTATAACTTCACCACCTTTTTCACCTGCCGATCCCATTCTAAAAAATAAATACTCCTAGGATATTTCTCTAGATTCAATTCTTGCTTGGGATAGACCAGCCGTGATTCTAAACAAAGACCTTGAGTGTTAAAAAAGGTAAAAAAACAATCAGTTTTAGAATTTTCAGGAATTCAATTCCGAAAAATTCTATATATTTGCTATGTGATTGAAAGAAAAGCACTTATACAGCTTCAAATCTTAGCTTCGCAATTTAAATCGGTGGCTGTTGTCGGACCGAGACAAAGTGGAAAAACAACCTTGGTAAAAGCTTTTTTTAAAGATAAGCCTTATATAAGCTTGGAGAATTCCGATACCAGAAGATTTGCTCAGGAAGATCCCAGGAGTTTTTTAGCTCAATTTTCCAAAGGAGCTATTTTTGATGAGGCGCAGCGCGTACCCGAATTGTTTTCTTACCTGCAAGAAATATTAGACAATAG